TTCAATGCTGAACTAAGATTCTTATCCCCAGACCTCTTTGCAGCATATGTCCCAGCTTGGAGAAGCTTCTGTGAATCATTCTTATGCTTGACACTTATATTTAAAATTTCTCGAAGCTGCGACCTGTTAGACATTTCCGAAAATTTTAATTTCGGACGACCCCTCTCGGATGGACCACGTTTTAGGGGCATTGGAAATAAGAATAATGAATTTAACCAAGTCAAATGACGTTCGTCAAAATTGAGACTTAACTTTTTCAAATTACTCCTTTTAACATGGTATTCGGATCTCAGTTTGCATACCTTAAGATTTATAGCTTTAATGCAATTGTCATCAGAAATTTCAGATTTAGATGCAATAAAACCAGCTACTAAAGATATATCATTGTTGTATTTAGAAAGTAAATCCACAATTTCCTCTTTTTTAAAGTTAGCCATGGTGTGCTCGCTTCGAGTTTCGAGCACCGTATGACAGAAATTGGGAACATTTTTTAGAGAAGAGCCAAAAAAGTTGATATTTCTTTTTTCGATATATCGATATAACATTCGATTGTTGGATTTCAGAAATAAAAGAAGCGGGATTGAATTAAAAAAGTAGATTTTAGATGTTAGGCAGACTAAAATCAAACGTTCATTAAAACCTGACGAAAAAATACGGCATACTTTTGGGAATTCTTAGTAAAGCTCATCAAAATGGTTCGATTTCAAATTAAGCCATCTATTAAAACTAAAACTACTGAAAACTAAGGCAAAACCAAAAGAATTTATTTTTGATGTAATGACTTTATTCGGGGATGGCACTTAAAAGCACTCGAAAAGCAAAGTACTCATTTGCTAAAAAAAGCAGTAAAAATCAACGAAAAAGTTTCTTTTAGGAAACAAGTAAGACATACGAGCTATTTGATATTTTTTTACTTGTTGAAAATAATGACTTCTAAAAGTTTTGTGAAGAAGTCGAACAGCTACATCAGCATCTTTGACTTCTAGATTTTTTTTTCATTTTCAACAATATGTGATGCATTTTTTACTTTAAAAATACGGTAAAAGAAAACTACTTGCCCGAATTCTTTGAAACTTTGGCATAAATTAGTTTAATGTATTATAAAATATATCGAAATTTGAAATACTTGTGAAAAACACATTTATGCCAAAAAAAACAAGGGCAAAGTCCCCATAGTGCAACAGAGGAACCAATCAACGTTTTTCTTTCATCTTCAGATTGTAACACCTATATTCTTCTGTCTTTTTCCAGTTGACAAATTTTATTTTTTATCTGTCAATATCTATTAAAATAAATTAAATAAATACCTAGACAAGTACATTTTTCAATTCCATACGTAAAGGGAAACGGTAAATAAGGAGTTCTGCAATACCGCAGAGTATGCTGATTAAATTGTTTCTTAATTCCACGTACATAAGCATTGGCACCTTTTTTTCGATTTCTCCAGATATAAAGCATCCTTTATTCACAAATACGACGGATTATGATATGCTTATTATGATTATGATGTCTCAAATGCATTTGCTTTTATTTCGTTCATAGATTAAACTACATCTGATTAGCTAGTGTCCGAGTAGCTATTGAGTCACACAAAGATACGGTGAGTTTGTAGAACTTTAAGTTAAAGTATGGGATTTTAAAACGGCAACCGTTTAACAACACTATCAGGCAGTTTGAGTAATCTCAGTATGCACAGTATTTTTATTAAATACGAAAAGTTTATTTACATGATATTTCCTGCCACCCCTGCTACAGTTGGGCATTCAATAAAACCGCTGGATATTCCGAAAGTTAAGTCAAATATTTATTTAATAAGCAACTCGCGCTGAGGAAGATGCTCAAACTGGAACAAACTTGGCATACGTGCAGGGGTGAATTTAATAAAAAAGTTAGGATACTCATATTAACTGGTATACCGTGAGACAGTTATTTAGGGCGAAAAACTTTTTATCAGACGAAAATGTACTTGAAGAAAACAGATGGTGGAATGTCATTAAGTTGATAAATTCAAACACCATGCATTTCTCATGCGGCCAGGGGCGGAGGTAAATTCCTATTCAAAATATTAGACTAAAAAGTATGACACAAATCCGTCCTTCAACAAAATCCAAAAAAAAGTCTGTAGGGCGGAGTGGGGTAAGGATAGTTAAGGGGCAAGGAAAGTTTTTGGCACTAGCGGATAGTTTAATATGCGCGCATACCTGTTTTTAATTTTTTTGCTCTTCATTCTTGGGTAATTATTCAGCAACCCAAATAATTCCCTGTGGGTCAATGATAGTTGAAGGTAAATAGAATGGTACCAGTGGTAATGGTACCTGTCAAGTGCTCGATGACCCAAGGCGTACTAATACTAATTCAAGCGCTCAAAACGTGGTTAACATTTGTATTTTAGCACTAAAACTGTAGGAGCCACAGCTTTGGGCGGTTTGTGGGCGTTATAGTGAGCGTGCCACATCAGCATAACAAATTTGAGCTGCGTACGGAGCTAAGAAATCCAAATCTGAAACTCTCTACTCTTAGCTCTCATAGTTTTCCGTTCAAACTGACAGACGGGCACTGCTAGATAGACCAGGCTAGTGATCCTGATCAAGAATATATATACTTTATGGGATCGCAAACGCTTCCCTCTTCCTGATACATACTTTTTCCCGAATACAACATAACCGTTTACTTTAAAAGTAACAGGAAAAAAATTTAATTGACATAAATGCGGTCCTCCGCTTCAAAGAACTATAACCGCAATTGTGTATCATAAAAAAAAGGTTTACACTCTGAGATGACAATATTTTTATTTGTATTATTTCAGTATTAGCTATCTCTCGGCATCCGTGTTCTTCGAGGATCAGCTAAATAATATATGCTTTACGAAAAAGTGGCATCCTGGCCAGAAATAGGTGCAGTGCTAACGGAAGTATTTGGAAGCCGAGTATCGAACCAGGAGAGCGCCAAGCAGTTGCAGAAACGTAAAATTGCAAGAAACAAGACCCTGATGCAGTACTTCATCACGATGCGCAATATTGCCCAACAAGGCCATTTAGACGAGGCAAGTACATCGTCGATGGATTGGAGGAGAAAACTCGAAAAGATGCTTTAACCAACTTGAATGTAGTATCCAGCCCGCCCGTTCTTTCCTTGTTTAACCCTCATAAGGAAGCAGAGCTGCATACCGACGTAAATTATCATGGATTGGGAGCCGTGTTGGTGCAACGCCAAAGTGATGGAAAGCTACATCCAGTCTTCTTTTATTCCCGTAGAGCAACTACTGCTGAATCTCGTTATCATTGTTTTGAGCTTGAGACTTGCGATAATATATTCCCTTCCAGTGGCGCAATGTGGTTACGGCCGAATTTGGTAATGAAGACTAAATGCATCGACGAAGGTAAGTTCGTAATCGATCGTTTCCCTAGTTTTGGAACATAGGATTAAAATGAGGCATTGTTTTCTTTTTTCGCTCTCCCCCGTATTTTTCGCTGGCCGTACAAGCGAAAGAGCGATAACTCTATCGCCTATCGTTTAGAAGTTAATTCTGGACTTACATTATAAAAGTAAGTCTTTACTTTAGAGGGCAAGACTTATAATGTAAATAAAGCGAAATTTGGCTTCCGTATTAATACGGTCAGTGACATTGTCCAAAGATTTAAGAAGGAGAAAAGAGTGGAGTCAATCAAGCAAAAAGGACAACCAAAAAAATAGAATGATCACGAAGAAGCCGAAATAGTCCGAAAAGAAAAGATAAATCCTCGACTTCGTGCTTTAGAATTGAAGGCCGAAATCTTTGCCGACGACGGGAAGACCGTTCAAAAACGTATTTAATTGAAATTCATTTAAAAAATTTTTTTAAACTAAATTATCTGCATTTAAGTTAAAAACTGGTGCTAAACAATGCTTACATCACATTAATTGCAACTTATAAAATACCTATTCGAATGGTTTATGGACAACATTCAACAAAATTTGTGTTGCCCTTTTTTTTTAACTCACATTTTCGTGTTTCTGTCAGTCAACGAAATATCTATGTAACTAAATTATTTTCTGTTTGTATGAAACTTACATCACTTTTGAAACTGATAAAATACGTATCTAGATAGTTACGAAAAAATATTCAAACATATTTGTATTCAACTAATTTTTTTTTTCCCTTGTATGAACTCTGTCCAATATTTTTATACCCGTTACTCGTAGAGTAAAAGGGTATACTAGATTCGTCGGAAAGTATGTAACAGGCAGAAGGAAGCGTTTCCGATTCCATAAAGTATATATATTCTTGATCAGGATCACTAGCCGAGTCGCTCTAGCCATGTCCGTATGTCTTTCCGTCCGTATGGACGCTTTGATCTCGGAAACTACAAAAGCTAGAAAGTTGGGATTAGGCATGCAGATTCCAGAGTTTATTACGCAGCGCAAGTTTGTTTCAGCAGAGTGCCACATCCCACAAACCGCCAAAAACTGGCTCCTTTTATGCTAGACTACATATTTTAACTGAAATACATTGCTCTCGCCCCACAAACCGCCCACAAACTTCAAAAAATCGTAAATATGAACGCGGATATCTCGGAAACAATCAAATAGAGAATTGGGATTTCAGATTTAGATTCCGAATAGTCAATATTTTCATATACTAGCTGTGTAAATACATAAAATGTTCTAGTTCTTTTACACCAAAATAAAATTATTTTTCGTATTCTACAGGATCCTCCTGGCTCTGCGGGGCTATCGATGCATTGATGCGCAGGCCCTGCCAGAAAGTCTGCCAAGCCTGCGGACTAGCCTCCACGTCCGTGAGCCCGTCGTGGGTGATCGCCTGGTTCTGCGAGTTGGATCTGTCGATGGATTCCTTGGGCGATTGAGATGGCTGTGGCTGTTGCCGTTGCTGCATAGAGACTCTTGTCCGTTGTTGATCCTCGAGTGGTGCTTTGGGCGAGTGACCACTTGCGCCGTTACAAATTTCTTGCGTTGAGACCTCCGAGGACATGCATTTACGGTCACTATGTTCTGCATACCTGGGCCCGAAATCAGATTCATGACGAGATTCTCTGGTGTATCCGACCTTCAGATGCCAGCAGAAGTACACAATCTTTGAGCACCGCTAAGATATTGGATTCTTGCTTTCCTCGTCGATGTAAAGTTCGATCATCTCGTTCGGACAGAGGTCCGTAACGAGATCGGGATCGCAAGGATCCACAGGGTTGCGATAAACGATGGAGTGTCGTTTATTAGTGAAAAAAAAACCACATATATCCGCTGTACAAGGGGTAGCTGATCAGAAGAAAAATATATGGCCCTCTGAACTGCAAATTTCCGAGACAAAGGCAGAGGTACCTCAACAAAACCTACTCGACCACACAGCAGCTCGCATTGCATCCTAGCAAGCATAAGTATTTCTGAGCATAATATAAGAGCAAGGCACGGATTTTTTAGCAGCAGATTTAATTCTGGGCTACGGGTTTGATGGCAGCTCTGGGCAGTCAAACTACAAGCAAGGATACTCATCAGAGCAACCCTTCACTGCCGAATCGTATATTTTCGCTACTACAGTAACGCCCTGAGACTTATTGATGCCTTTAGTATCATATTGTGGAACAATAAGACAGTCTATTTGCTTTTGTAGCCCATTAAAATGAGCGTTTATGAAGGAAACTGAAGAGTCAATCCTTTATGAAAACGAATATTTAATGAGCCAGATAGGTAAATTACAATTGTGTAAAATTATTTTAAGTGACAAAAAACATTAAGTTCCGTCTATTCTATTTTACTATGTCTGTCAAGCCAGTTGCCAATAGACGTTACCAAATTTTAAAGTTTCTCCCACAAAACTGCGGAAATTATTGTGGATGAGTACTCTTGGTTACCGACAACAGCGACGGTACACAAGATCCTTGTACACTCAGCTAATATCATTCAGAACACACTCCTTACAGTTGGTTACTTTGGAGAAGAGGGTGCCGAGTCGCGGAACAAGATTTATAATTCCGACCGCCTGCACCATGCCAGAAAATGCTGCCGGTTGGCAAATTTTACATACGTGTTCCAAAGAACAACTGATACGTCAGATCCCATTATTTCCAGTGTTAGCCTTAACAGGCGATTACAAAAAAAGCTGAACCATCGAAGCGAGGTTATACACTTACTATCTTGCGAACTCAAAAGTACAGGCGACTTGGAAGATGATGACGTGGAAAACAATATTCTTGGAAGCTCATGGGATATACAGCTGGAAAACGAGGACCACGATCAATAGGTGCGCAAAAAAAATATGTATACATCAAAACAAAATTCTAAACATCTATAGTGTATTACAGATTTGTTTTGCTCTGTGAATTTGTTCAGGAAAATGATCGTCAAAATAAACAAAAGTCGATTTCCAATAAAAAAATCGGAAGGATCACTCACATTTTTTATTAAATGATATTATTTTACAAATCTAGTCACAATAAAAAAAATGTTGTTCTCCTCAATAATAACCAAAAAAAATAAATTTATTTTACGCCCACTTTTATTAAAATATATTCCATTTTTTATTATTAACCAAATTCTAAAAACAGAACGCAAAAATATTGATCAATGGGTAAGGCGCCTCTGATGTGAGAGGACCCCGGTTCGGATACCCGCTAGGGCTAAAGTATTGAGCGATATATCAGATTTATTTATTAAAAAAGAAAAAAAATAAAGTGTGTTTTTTGGGCAAGACTCGAACTTTGAACCCCGAAAACAAATTCTACAGAATCCTCCTGGCTCTGCGGGGCTATCGATGCATTGATGCGCAGGCCCTGCCAGAAAATCTGCCAAGCCTGCGGACTAGCCTCCACGTCCGTGAGCCCGTCGTGGGTGATCGCCTGGTTCTGCGAGTTGGATCTGTCGATGGATTCCTTGGGCGATTGAGATGGCTGTGGCTGTTGCCGTTGCTGCATAGAGACTCTTGTCCGTTGTTGATCCTCGAGTGATGAACCAGGACCAGTACCTAAAAATTTTGAAAGAAAATTTGAAGCAGTTTGCCTAGAAAATGGTCATTGCCAACACTTTTAAGTTGTATCAGCACAACGACACGATGCGCAGGGCCCATAAAGTAAGGGTCCGGGTTGCTGCATAACTGCCCAAACGCTTGGAAACGCCTCCCCAATGCACCGTGATCGCTGCCATAGGTCAAAATTAAAAAAATTTGATTCTCAGCCTTTCCAGGGAAAACTGATTCTATGATCAGCTGACTGTTGTGACACAATCGATGTTTTTAAATTTCTAACCGGACTTTTCAACACTGGAATGAAAAGAGCGAGGACGTGCTTACTTGCAATTTGGCCGCACTGCAGTGCAATACAGTGAATTAAAAAAACTCAAATAAATTATAAAGCACTGTTTAACCCAATAAGGAAGGTTTCTGAGGTTGCAAATAGGACGAAACGCGGCCTTGCGGATGTCTGATTTCCAAGAAAATAAATCCATTTCCGAAATAAAAATTGAATAAGTTTAAGCACTTTTCATGGAGTGTCGATTAACTAAACACTTAAATATATCGACCAATTATTGCCCAGCTATGATCAAGTTCTGTGTGCTAAACAAAAAAGCTATCCGTTCCACTGCAGCAGGCGGATCGGCCCGAACTGCACCACGTCGCAGCAGCCTTAGACTGTGGGCCCAGAACAACCAAGAGAACACCGAGCCAAGCAGCTCTCCATCTTACACTGGCAGGCGTTCTTTGCGCTCCCGTCGCACAATGCCCGCCAGAATGCTAGATTCAGACGATGAACCTGATACACCCAGAAAAAAAAGAACGAAAAAAGTCAAGAACATTTTTCATGAAATGCGAACAATCCGTTCTCCATTTTTAGTTCTCACATTTTGAACGTTTGTTCACGAAAATCGAACGGTGTTGGTAACAACTTCTACCGACGAACAACTTGGTTCCAAATTGCGAAAAATGTTTTCAGATATCGAACGCCGTTCATGAAAAAGCTGCGATATAGTGATGTAAATTTGGGTCGAAACATCGATGTCGATCTTCATCGTTGTTTGCAAAATGATACATCGATTTTTTGTGAAACATCGGCTAGAAACATCGATGCATCGATGTTTTCAACCCATTCCGTTATTTTTCGTTAACTCAATTTGTAGAAGCCTATTAAATTTTTTATTGAGATTTTTTAATATTTAAATAAGAAGGAATTAAGACTACAAAAATAAAAGCTTTCTTAGTTTTTTCTTTTTTATTTCTTCATTGAGTGGTTTGGTTAACAATTTTATAAACGAACTAAAAACTATATCAATTCATGAGCATTCAGCAGTCTTTTTCATTACATTGAGAATCAAAAATAATAAAATAATAATATAAAAATAAATGCTTCCTTAGCACTATTTTTCATTACATTCAGAATCAAAAATAATAATAAAAACAAAATAATGTAACAATAAATGCTTCCTTAGCTATCTTTTTGTTATGCTTTTAAAGCAATATTAATTATTATAATTATAATATGTAATTAAATTTTTCCAAAAAAGTATTTTTTGTCGATGCTTTGTAAAAATAAAATGCGGCTTAGCCGGTCTGGTCTTAACCTGTTTCTTCTCTGGCTTAAGACATATGATGCCGCTGAAAAGACCCGTTCAGAAGGAACCGACGATCCTACTACCGGTAAAAATTGCAGCGCCATTTTATGTAAATTGGGATATGTGTTTTTCATACCTTCCCATACTTGTATATCCCATAACTATATTTATATACATATATATTTCACATAATACTTACTTTGGCATTGCAAACACGGTAAACTAAAACAAAAACCGCGAATTTGTCTGTGCGGCACTGAAACCATATGTTCTGCAATGTTGTGCAACTCGACGCCCGATGTTTTGGTTAAACATCGATGCATCGATAAACATCGGCATAACATAAAACATCGAAAAACATCGCCGAAAAATCATCGATGCTTGATTCATCGATGGTTTTTTACATCACTACTGCGATAGACGCGTTAAAGTCTATCGAAATCGATAAATTATCAACATCGTTCATAAAAGCATGTATGTAGGTCTAGTGTCCCGATTGTCCGCGCTCGAAAAATTCGCTCGGTGGTCCAGCTGCTGTTTCTGTCAGTCAACGATATATCTATGTAACTAAATTATTTTCTGTTTGTATGAAACGTACATCACTTTTGAAACTGATAAAATACGTATAGATAGTTACGAAAAAATATTCAAACATATTTGTATTCAACTAATTTTTTTTTTCCCTTGTATGAACTCTGTCCAAAATTTTTATACCCTTCCAGAGGGTATATTGATTTCAGTCAGAAGTTTGCAACGCAGTGAAGGAGACGTTTCCGACCCCATAAAGTATATATATCAGCATGACTAGACGAGTCGATCTAGCCATGTCCGTCTGTCCGTCCGTTTCTACGCAAACTAGTCTCTCAGTTTTGAAGCTATCGGCCTGAAACTTTCCCAAAAGTCTTATATTTTTTGCAGGTAGTATGTAATTCGGAACCAGCCGGATCGGACAACTATATTTTATAGCTCCCATAGGAATAATAGGAAAAAGAAATTTAAAAAAATTATATCTTTGGCGTTTTTTAGCATATAACCTCCTAAGCTTGGATATAACATTTTTTAATTAGTTTTGAATTTCGAATTAAATTTTATCAAAATCGGAAGACTATATCATATAGCTGCCATAGGAACGGTCGTAAAATTGGTGGAAAAATAATATGAAACAAATTATAGTTTCGGTGTTTTTCAACATATAACCTCCAACGCTTGAAAATAACATTTTTTTATTAGTTCTGAATTTCGAATTTAATTTTATCAAAATCGGACGACTATATCATATAGCTGCCATAGGAACGATCGGAAAATTGGTAGGAAAATAATATGAAACAAATTATAGCTTCGGTGTTTTTTAACATATTATCTTATACTATTGGGAATATAATTTTTTGTGTTTTTAAATTTAATAATTATAGCTGCAAGGGTATATAAGCTTCGGCTTGCCAAAGCTAACTTCCTTTCTTGTTTTTTTTTTAATTTTCGTAAAACTGAATGAATACACAAATACTTCGATTTTGAA